TATTGATGCTAATAATTTAGCGAGGACGAATGTAATACGTCGGTAATGTATCAGCGATGTTTAATAAAGAAAATGAAAGCATTATTTTGCTTATGCACATATCGAAAAAATGTTTGGCTTGCGTGCATTCAACCGTATACGTGGGATAAAGCATGATCATATATTATTGAGTCAGACTTGGTCTTTTTCGCACAAAAACATTATTATTCTTTTGCTTGTTCTATCACTTATCGATCACACAGCTTCAAAAATGAAGAAAGATAAAGTTAATCGATGGTTGGAAAAATGTGCATTATATGACGACTTTATTTATTTTTCCTCCTATCGTTACACAGAATAGGTAAAATATAAAAGCTTCACAAGCAATAGTATGCTGTTCAATACCGTTGATCCTATTAAAACCAAGCTCAAAGGTCTCTTCTGTCTATGACAGTAAATATTGGTTTCTACTGCAACTTTTGGAAGCATTTCCTGTCCATACACATGTTCCTCGTCAGAGATAAACATTCGGATGAAGTCTTGACCTCAGGATCGTTTCTAATCCTCGCAGAAACCGGGGAGTCACTTTTAGTAGCTACCTTGGCTACTATCGTTGTGTGTATCCTTGCTCTGATTAAGATTCATTTTTCAGTCGGATTTTCGTTTAAGCTGCAGTTCAAATCGTCATTCTGCTATCCATCTCGGTGAGAAGTCAGCATCAGACACAACTCACATTATCAACTTCAACCTCGATATCAAGGTCCATGGGACTGGCTATGTTTAGTGTTGGCTCTGTCAAGCATAACTTCTTGTCTAGTTTTCACTTGTTGTTCTGCACTATCCTAAAGTTTTTTATGGACCACTACTCATTTTCACAGCAGTTACGGTCGACCTTTGTCCCGAACTTCAAAATCTCAGCTTCAGATTGGATCATATTCTGAATTAGAGTAGCAGCTTCGAACCTAACGACACTGCTCGTTGCAGATGTGTGTTGGAATCACTACTCTGACTCAACTTCGTTACAGTTCGAGTTTTAGAACTGTACTCGATAGCTCTCCAAGTTTCTTTAGGAATCTCGTAAGACGCTTACGATCCTGTCCTGCTCGAAGTCTCTCTTACAAGTGAACAGTCGCAGCTGGTTAGCATGACTCATGCCCATGCTTTGTTGGTGGTTGAAGTTTATCATGCATACAAATTATCCAAAAGGATTCGTACCATTGCTGCTTGGTTTCAGCGTAAAGAGAATAATAAGTGCCATGATAGGTAGTGCCAGCTTCTCTGTGTCAATAATTTTTCTATTCTTGTCTTACCTAAGAATTACATTCTTCTACTGAAAATTTGATCAGTAGCGTATCTTTTCTGTGACTATTTACCCTTAAAATCTTAAGTGAATCTGACTTTGCGTCTGAGACAGAGAACATTTGTTATTTCCTTTTTTCGATAATCACTTTTATTCTTTGCAAACTCAAGTCCGAGGAAGATTTTTACGGTTTTCTTTGATTTCATATAGAAGGAAAGAGAATCAAAATGAAAAAAGAATTATAGCATTTATCCTTTCACAAATGACTGGAAAAGCATACAACGAAAGCAAATCAAATGAAATAAACGCTCGAGAAATGGTACTGGTCAATATGTAATGATGATACTTTTTAGAAAAGTGGATGCAACAAGAGGGTGTTGTTCTATGCAGTGTTAAGAATACTTTTTTCGACGACAGTGCGTAGCGTGTTATTTATTTGAAATAGAAGAATCAGTAGAAGAACTCCTGTTCTCTTCCATTGGAAACCTAAGTCACATTCAACTGAGAATTTAAGGGTGAATAGTGATAAACAAGATAATTTGGTAATCAGATTTTGAATAGAAAAGGACCCCGCGCGTTAAGGTGCCAAATCTGCCACCCGCCTAAGATGCCATTTTAATGTCATATTTTTGTAGATTGGATCCAATTACACATTTAGAAATATTGTTTTTTTCCCAGACTTTTAGTTACATAGATAAATAAATATATCTATGATCACATGGCAAGGGTCGATCGGGACCCCTGAACCTCACTTTCCTCTGCTATGGAAGAAAGTTTTGAAATTCTGATTTCATATTTAGAAGCAGTCTTATAGACATTCTAATTCCTTGTAATCATCATTTTTTAAAACTTTTTAGGGATCGAATAAAAACTGAAATACAGTCACTAAGAGCCTATAGTGTGTGTAGATATGAAAACTTGAGATCATATTATCTCAATAATAAAAAATTATATCTCGATGAAACTTTTACAAAAACTTGCTTATATATCCAGCTTTCTTTTGATACCATTGCGACTTAAAATATTTTTATCCAGAGTTCCATTCTACACTTGAACATTCTCAAATATCATCACACAGAATAGAAATTCTGCTTGTATTTGACGATTTTCATCATCAACAACCATTTTTCAAACACAATACATGCGATATTCGAAATCAGCATCAAAATCTGAGTAAAATGACATGTGTTCTCTTAAAAAATATTTTTCGTCAAGGGTGGGTGGGGTGGGGTGTGGGTGTGTAGATGAGATAATATCAATCATGTAGCTAGCAAGACCGGTTTCGATAAGTGCTATAAACTTAAACTTATCAATTGCTTTATTGATTGAAAGATGTTATGATAGATATAACTTCTCCGAGCTGCCATGACCGGTTTCGTCCGGGCTAAGGGACTCAATCAGATGGCTTAATCTATTCTGAATTTTCAAGAAGAAAATCCAAAACAAGATCTATGTTCAGTGTTACAAGAAGTCGAAACTAACTTGTAATAGAAGGGTGTGGATGTGGGTGTGAATGATTTTAAATAAGTGAAATCAATCATCATAGCTGGTAAGACACGTGTTTCGATAAGTGCTAAAATTAATACTTATTAATTACTATGAATTGCGTATGATTGAGGATGGTATATAGAATACTTCTCCTACATGAATTAGGGTGTGGGTGTGGGCGTGGGCGTAGGTGTGAGTGTAGGTGTGCATTATAGAAGAAGAACTAACCCATACCCACATCTACACTTCACACCCACACCCCACCCCACACCCCACACCCACACTCACACCCACACCCACACCCACACCCACACCCACACACCCACACCCTCCGTTCAACATGTTGTGAAGCAACTCAACCACGATTCCATTGCTGTGAGCTTTGTCGCAGCGGATGAAGGAACTCCCAGTATAAATCTAAATCAACTGGAGCCTTCTTTTATGTACACTCAGATATTCAAAGAAATACTTCTGCAAATGGATTACAACGAACAGTCAATTAGAAACTTGAGGGTGTGGGTGTGGGTATGAGTTATGAGACAGACATACCCACACCCCACTCACACCCACACTCACCCACACCCACACTCACCCACAACCACACTCACCCACAACCACACTCTACACCTCACATCCACCCCACACCCACTCCCGCCCCCACCCCACCCCCACCCCCCCCCCACCCACACTCACACCACACACCCACGTACACCCACACTCGAAACATTAATCTTTAATGGTTGATTTTTCAGCAATATTTTTGATTCTTTAGTGGAAAATTCAAAAACTTTCCAACATAAATATTTGTTTGTTTTTTCACTTTCAATAACAGTGTATGTCAATGGGTACTGTTTTGTATGTAATGAGGAATCAGCACCGATAGTTAAAGAAAAAGTATTAACGAAAATTTATACTTGAGACGATTCACTAGGAATAGAATTAGAATCAGAAGCAGTAATTGTTGATGATGTTGAAGAATTCTAAAAAATTTAGTCGAAATCATCCACAGAGACTTCTGGACTATGACGCGGAGAGATAAGTATTGTTAACCCTTTACCCCCCAATGGGTCATATATGACCCATTTGTAGACATGATCACAGAAAATAAAGAAAGCATGAGACTGAAAAACTCCCAAGACATTATTTGTAGGGAATTTCACAAGCTACCAATTGGTAAAAAATATTTTGTTTCATTGCTCTGCCTTCGAGATATATGACTTACAAAATCGATAATTTTGAAAAAAATGCAAAAATTCGAAATTTTATAAACAAAATGTTCTCTACTTTCAATCGATAGAGGTCTTTTGGAATTTCTGTGCGATATTAATCGACGAAGAAGTCCATTGCTGAATTAGATGCGTTTCGAAAGCTTCATGATAACTCCGCGAATTATGCATACTAAGGGACACAATTGCCCATGCTGTCACTGTTGGACAGATGGAGGCTAATCAAGAACAAAGTTAATATATGCGTTATAGACCTCAACTCATGAGAAGTCGAAATAATATTTATGATGAATTAAATTCCTTCAGACGTTACAAAATGGCTCTGAGTAAAATAGGCTTAAATTTGACAATAGGTGTAAAAAAAAGCATGTATTCGTTGATGTTAATTTTCATCGGTTTACTCGTTGCGCTTTTCCTATCACTTCAACAGTATGAAATAGATGCTGCTTCTGTCCAGTCAATAATGTGGTCAAAGAAAAAAAAATGAAGTCTTATGATGTCTTTCAATTCCCATTTTCCACCACACGATTTTTACATCAATCAAACCACCCTACTCCAGGAACAGGACATTCAGTGGATTAGGCCACACCATTGGCATATTTGACAACCTAATACTCTATTCATAAAGTTATTTCATCAGTGGCTCTTCTGGAACCGCTATGGGGGGGTAAAGGGTTAACCCTCCTTTAAAATCGTGTTTCACAAAACATGAGTTCATAGCACAAAAAAAGACAGTAATAAAACTAGTTCATATTAAATTGACGAGATTGAAGAATATCACAAAAAATGTAAATTCTATAGGATTTCAAAGTCTAAAAACTATTGATATGGTAGATTTATGACATTTGACTACATTCTTTATGTATTTAATTTAAATAGTTCAATAGATTCTAAACCACTAAAGCCTTGTAAAGATGATCATGATCGTCGTTTACAATAGTTTGTCATGATCGAGATAGAAACAGTGAACATGCACTGATGATATTAAATTAGAGACAATTAGTAATATGAATCAATCAGAATTTATTCAACAAGTTTGTAAATATGGTCATGAATCTGATTCAAGTAATTGTAATCGTTATTCTCATCCAACATCAATTTTAGTAATTCAATTATTTAAGACTACAACAACAAGTCGAAAACAGTCTTCATATTATTACAACTGTGTTGGTATACAAGTAGTTGATTCTAATTATCCATTAGTTAATGGTTTTCTATCTGCATCGAAACATGCTCAACCTCAATGATGAAAAAAATACCAATCTGATGCTGTTCTTGTTACATTTAATTGTGGTAAAGGTAATATTATTCATATGATATTACATTTTTATTTACAACGTTCTGAAACTCGTGATGTTCGTCATCAAATCTCAGTTCAACAATTTGTAATAGATATACAAGCATCAATAACTGCTACATATCTTGTTGTAAATCAAGGTCAACATTTAAATTATGCTCAAATTCAACGATCATTAAACTTAGTACAATTTATTTATTATCAAATTGTAAATATTTTTTATCAAATAAATAATTATTCTTGAATATATTTTGTATTTTGTGAAGCTTGACTTAATGCTGTACTAACAGAATCATTGTCCATATTTTCATTATTTTTTTTTTCATGAGATTTATAATTATATTCATTATCAATTGAATTTCTTCGATGTTCTCGTGTTTTAAATAATTTTTTACGACTATATATTAAACCAAAAATAATTATAATACTAACAATACATAAACCAATAATTAACCATATTTTTAAAGCACTAGTTTCTTTTTGTATTTGACTATTTGCTGAATTATTATTGTCGATTATTTCACAAAAGTCACCTGTTGTTAATGGATTACACAAACATTGATTATCTATACATGAGCCACTATTTTGACAAGGATTATCTGTATCGTAACAACCTTGTTCTTAATATATAGAATTCTATTAATCAATGATAAATATAGTAAAAATTTATACCACAAAATGTTCCTTGATAACCAGTTTTTATACAATTACATGTAAAATTATCTCGTCCGACTGCTTTACATTGTCCGTTATTCATACCTACGAAAATGATTATAGGGAATACCGAAAATAGTTGCGAAAGTACTTTATTTCCTTATAAAAAGCTTAAATGAACTTTGACTTTGTATGTACTGATAATAAACGTGAAGCTCTATTACATTGTTCAGTCATTAAATATATAATAATAAATTTTTCGATAAGAGCTATTTGATATGCTATGTGATGATAACATCATATCATATCTATCTTCGATTCCTATTCAAAGACCGTCTGCTTTATTTTTTGCGGCAAAATGTCGAATATTTGATGAAATAAAAACTTGATGAATTTGTTTTTATATTTCATTTTTGTTCTATTGACACATATTCTTGTATATTTCAAGATTCACATCGAAGACAAATCTAATTCGACGTTATTGTCACATATCATAACCGAACAAATATGCAACATGAGTAGTTTTTTTTTTTTATAAGGAATTAAATTATCTCCGTCACTACTTTTACTATGACTCTTTTTCGTATAATATTCATAAATTATTCGAAAAACTTACAGCGATCAGCTGGACAAGGATCTATAAATAAAAATTTTTGTTTGTAATATAAATAGAATTGTAAAATTTTCTTTTTTACATTTAGTTATATGACAAAATTCACCAATCCAACCTGAATCTCCACAATTACACATGAAACTAAATATTTTCTTAAGTATTTATTTATATATAGACAAATTTCAAATTCTTCACCTAGGTGTATTACCCTAAGAAAAAGAAATATAATAATAAATATTTCACATCGCTTTCTTTCGTCGAAAATCAATTTTCCATACAAAGTATAGCAATAAAAAAAAAAGTTCTCTCTCTTTAACAAATAATGACGATCTTAGTTCTACAACTTACAAGTTGTATGCATTGTCCATTGTGTTGACAAGGATGTGAAAGACATGGATCTAAAAAAATTTTAATATTCTTTGAAAATTTCATTTGCAAAAAAAAACTGAAAAAGTTTTACTTTTTGCCTCTGTACAAAGTGGTCCTTCCCATAAAGATGTACATTCACAATAGCCTAGTTTCGTACAATTACCACCATTATGACCTATATTAATTGATATATTGATTGACAAACGAAAGGTTCTCAAATTTACAATGTGAAGGTAATGAACCACAATTATCAGTACAATAAGTACCACCATAAGGTGTTTCTGTACAATCACATTGAATCGGTTCTCTCTCCGTTACAGCAGTACATATACCTTCATTTTGACAAGTATTATTACTTGTATCGCAGCTTGTTTTAAAACTAGTCGATGCTTTAAAAAAAATAAATAAATCGAATAATAATTCATTACTTAGAACTGGTCGGAGTTTTTTTTTTTGACTTCACTGACAAAGAATTGAATGTGTTTAACACATTAAGTAAACAATCAGTTCTTTTTAAGGAACAACTTCTATTTTAATCTTTGACGTTTAATATGTGCTAGTCTTATGAATATTCAATTAGCTAAAAAAAATCTTTAGTTTAGATCAAAGTTAACTTCTAATATCTGGTTAACTTTTTATGAACATCAGCATGATGTGAAGCTCTCATATCGTACAATGAAAAAGTGTTAGCTCAATATTTAAAGCTGACGCTTTGATAATGACCCATACATGTTGATCATTTAAACTATGGATATCAGTAAGAACTGGTCGATCCAGTTCTAAGTATGTAATAATTATATTTAAATAAAACTCACTTCGTTCACAAGCAAATGCTGATAATTTATCTGATTGTTCATCATTTAAACAGAAAACAGATTGATTATTATAACGTAAAGATCTCCATCTATATGAAAATACAGATTGATTATTCTTATTTTAATATTTTTGCATCGATACCGAATAAGAGCAATACGAGTTTCATTGGTATTATTGTTACTCCATGATGGCTGTGGATCTTCGACAGCTGGCTGACAAAAAATAAAACTTATAAGAAAAATTTGATATACAATTATACTTACTACTCCATTGATATTTGGTCTACACCACATTGAACTATTTTGATCAAATCTAAATCCTCTATTGTCAATCCATGAGAATTCACCAACTCGAATAAATTTCATTTTTTGTTTTTAAATTTATATCTTTTATCAACTTACATTTAACATATGGTTCATTCATTGCACCTATCCTATGTATATATATATATACATATTTTTTTTTTATAAAATTATCTTATTTTAAAATTTTACAAAAAAAATCATAATCTACCAAAATCGAGTATAATAAGGACTATCCCAAGTATCAGGAAAAATCATTGACACACTCATTTCTTCTCCATGTTTCTACAAAAATATATGAATGTATTTCATAATATAAGTTTCATCATAATATTTACTCGAAACCAATTTAAATCATTAGCATGATTAAAAACAATCAACTATAATAGAAATATATCAAATAAGTAAACATTTTCTTAACCTACATCAGCCATAAAAGGATATCGACATCTGTCTCTAGCATTTGACCAACTTGCTTTCTCATTAGGAAAATAATAACATCGTGTTTCTAACATACAAACAATAAATATTATCAAAAAAAGAACAAAAAATAATAATAATAATGAAAATTAAACCTTGAAAAAACCATCTTGCTGGACAATAAACACAACGACGACTTGTACTATTCCAAAAAACTTTTCCATTAGTATCAGTAAGAACTGGTCTACAAGTACATCTCTTTGTCATATCACATATTACACGTCCATCACGCCAATCAGCACAGTCATGAGTAAAAGTACAAGTACCATTATAAGGTACACCTTGTGCATCTGCATTACATTTATTAAATATAATGACATTTTGATCATTAAAAAAAAAAGAACCACTCACTCGAACAAGTATATTTTAATAATATAATAGTTATAGTAAGATTAACTAGCATAGATAATAGTGAACAAGTTATGACCTATTGTTAGTACATAGCAACGATAAATTTTTCGTTCTTTTTTTTTTTTTCTATCGCTTGATTATCTTTAAGATTTATTTTATTTATAAGTACAAAAAAAAAAATATGACAATTTGAATATATCAATTATTTCAATCCAACTGCTTCAGCACTCAATTTCCATAAATGATCAGCTATGTTCTTATCTGTACAGAATGAAGTTGTTCGAGCAACAGCACAATTTCTATAATACAGACATAGAATCTTTCATTTGTTTTTGTTTTATGTAAGGTGCCGACAATTCGAAATTTAGTATTTCAAGTGAAACTTAGAAAAAGAAAGTCAATAAGGATTTATCCGCATAAGTCTTCGGTAACGAATGATGAGAGGTTTGCTAAATTTTTCGACACATTTGTTGCTATTCTTCGAAAAACCAAATGTTTTATGCCTTTGTTAGTCTTTTCAAGACTTTCTTCTTGTCAGAATATGAACTCAAATGGCAGATGTCAGTAGAAATAGTTCTTTCATGAGAATTTTTCTGCGATTTTTGACTATTGAGCTATAAATAAAGCTAGTTTCAGGAATACAAAGGGGTGGGGGAAGTGGGTGACAATGATTGCGATTGTTGTTTTTTTTCTCTACTCGTCTCTCCTACACTCACTGAGGTTTGATTAAACTTCGAATTGTCGATATCTTATTGTTTGAATGAAAGATACATACTTAAAGTAGAGATCTGTTGAATTTTCAAGTGAAGGTTCAACTGCACAATAAATAGTTGTTTGCGCACCAGTCTTTGGTGTTTTAGCAAAAGTAGCTTTGAATATACGTAATATTGGATAGACAATAAGAAATCGATAAATTCCAAGAGATTCTCGCATTGGTGCTTGAATAGATGTTCGAACCCAACCGGGATGTAATGCAAATACATTAACACCTTCGGCTAAGTAGAAAACAATTAAAATAAAAGAAGAAAATGAAACAAAGAAAAAAAAAACTCAGACAGATTACCAAGTAAATCTTGTTTTAATTTATAACTTGATAATATCTGAAATGCTTTTGATGATGCATATACACCTAATAGACGAGAATTTTTAAATTGTGTAAATACATCAAACCAATCAATAGATTTAACTCCTATATTAAATATAAAATAATATAGAATATATTGAAAACATTTTAATACAAACTTTTATGTGCACCCGATGAAACATTAATAATTCGACTTGGACGACATTTTTTTAATTTATCTAAAAGTAAATTTGTTAACAAAAAATGACCAAGATAATTAGCTTGAATAATAGAATTAAATC